CCTTGGCACTTATGAACGTTCGAAATATTTCCATAAACTTCTTTGATATTCTTTGTGGCTACAGAGGCGTTGTTTTCTGTCTTGTATTCAAACAGCATTATATAGGCTACACTAACGCGGTTCGTTTAATTATTGTACTTTTTTTTTGGGGGGGGGGTAATGAAAGTGTTCCAACACCAAAACGCGACATTAATTTCTTGACGACTTAATATTTACACCTGCTCAAGAACATATTGTGTTGTCGAATGACAGAATCCACGCTTACAACTACTTGTCTCTGTGCTTTTGTTATCATAATAGGTAAGAGTTTGTTACCAACACGTTTTTTTTTCCTAATTGGTTAAGAAATGGTAATAATTTTCGCAAACTCTTTTGTACATAGTGAGCTGTACGGGACTTTGAGAACAGGAAACTAGAATGTATCATCTTTGGGTGGTAATGCCAAAAAAGAAAGCTTCCATGCTTGATGCGAAAAGATGTGCTTAAAGCTACTCCAAGCAATCGAAACTAAAACAGTCATAAATAGAGAGAAAAATTACCTTGCACCATCAAATACTGTGTTACTGACCGCTCTAAACACTAATTATTCGTACTAGGAAACTGCGCCATAGCTAGTAACTGCTCAGTTTCAACGATTCAAAAATTAAACATTTATTAACGTCAGTTTCTGTGGAAGAATATCTTTAGTTTTGCTTTGTACAGAGGTTTAATACGTGAAAACTATTTTGGAGTCTCACTATATTGTAACAGTTTATGTCGCCACGTCCGTTATTGTTCTTTCTGACGACTATGAATCTTGACAATAGACATACAGAGTATATTCTATTGCAAGAAGCTCCGCCATAAGGTTGTCATATCCAAAGTATACTACACCTCTCTGTGAATTTTCCATAAACCATCTAGTGTACGAAGGCGACGGTTTCCCAACGCCAATTTCAACAATCTAATCGCTTAGAAATCTATAGGCGTTGCATATGGAGATTTGACTGGTATGTATTCATGTGGATCAATAACATGAATACAAATTTTATATCCAAATGATTGAGATATGCAACGGTTTTACGGATGCGAAATGGAAAACATTTCTGCAAAGAGAACTGCCTTGCTTTTCCAAATGGAGAACCCACTTAATTATATTGTGTTGGACACGCGGACGGTTTTTAATACTGACTTTTGTGTTTGTGCATTTTCACCTGTTACAAAACGTTGCATTTTACTTACCCGGCTAAGGTACGATCTTTGTAGGTCTGTTTCTGGATGGTCCTTTTTTTTCTTAATCTCGTTAGCCCCCAGTGGCACAGTGGTATGTTTGCGGACTTATACTGCTAGAAACCGGGTTTTTATGCCCGTGGTGGGTAGAGCACAGATAGTCCTTTGTGTAGTTTTGTGCTTAGTAACAAACAACAACCAATCTCATTAAGTACAAAGGATATTCCAGTCTTGAATGTTCTAAATCCCTGATCTGAACAGATCTTTATAATCTTAGTGTATGAATCATCTTACATCATAAAAGACTGTTACATACCCTTTCCTTAAATGATCAATTTTCGGTGGCATCACACTACTTACGACGCGCCAAATAATACCATAATGTCGTTCTGATACATGTCGCGATTTTTTTATCAGCTGTGGTTGTAAGTGACTTGCTGATTTACATGTTTAAAATATTTTTAATATACCGCACTCAATCCTTTGTAAATACAAACAGTGGATCTATTTCTATATCTTTATAATGTCTATTGTCCTGGGTATCATCCATATGATGAATATTTCATGAAATGAAATGAAGAAAATACATATTAGATAGAACAAGTCTTGATGAAAAACAACTAATTTAAAGTAAATAGCAGTAAGAAGCTGAGACAGGAAATTTAGTACATAAATATATCCATCACTGGTATACATTTGTAATACATTTAGTTTGTTTTTGTTTTTTGAATTTCGCGCAAAGCTACACGAGGGCTATCTGCGCTAGCCGTCCCTAATTTACCAGTGTAAAACTAGAGGGAAGGCAGCTAGTCATCACCACACACCGCCAACTCTTGGGCTACTCTTTTACCAACGAATAGTGGGATTGACCGTCACATTATAACGCCCCCACGGCTGCAAGGGCGAGCATGTTTGGTGGAACGGAGATTCGAACCCGCGACCCTCAGATTGCGAGTCGAGTGCCCTAACCACCTGGCCATGCCGGGCCGATACATTTAGTACATAAATATATCCATCGCTGGTATACATTTGTAATACATTTAGTACACAAATATATCCATCACTGGTATACATTTAATATCAATACTGCCAATGAACAGATCTCAAGAGAACTAAGTGATTATTACACTGTATTACAAATGTATACCAGTGATGGATATATTTATGTACTAAATGTATTACAAATATATACCAGTGATGGATATATTTATGTACTAAATGTATTACAAATGTATACCAGTGATGGATATATTTATGTACTAAATGTATTACAAATGTATACCAGTGATGGATATATTTATGTACTAAATGTATTACACATGGTGACGGATTTACTATCCTATACCTATTTTAAAACCGATGTTTGTTTAAGTTAAATTTATATGTGGAAATGCACATAACATATACTGTTAAATCTGTATTGCGAAATTCCCGCCAATTCACTAAAACTGTAGAAAATTCTCGACTGTAAGAATCAACAATGTATGTGTGTAGGTAAACACTGGTGTACCGTTCATATTGTTGCGTAAGCTGAAGTTTCGAGAAACTCTTCTCATGCCTATAAATATAACCAACGCGCTGCGCCAAAAGAGAGTATATATTATTGGTTTGCTATAGTTGGTGTGCTATAAACCTCGGAACCTATAACTGTGATTGTTATTACGTTTATTAATCAGGAACTTCAGACATTTGACCAGATTTCGAATGTTACAAATCATTTAACTTCAGCGGATTCACATTGGACATTAGTATTTTTACGAAAACATTATATAACTTCAGTACTGAATAACTCGGCTTATGAACCGGCTAAGAATGAAAAACATAAAGCTAAGAGCTACCCTGTTAAGTGAATTGTATCTACATCAATTCAAAATTAATTTGCTCATCGTGAACTCTCGATAAGATATCAAGGAAGTTCCAGACCAGATAGAGGACACAATATTGTTTGTAAGTGTGTAAAACTCTTGCATATAGATCATTATTTGTAATAACCGTTATTGTAAATTATGTTATTGGTTGTATATTAAAATAT